GGACAGGAAATTTCTCACTATGCTCACACTGGCCATCTGTGTGCTATCAAAATGCCTGCCATGCGTATAAATCTCATCCATGAGTGTCCTCTCCCATTCTCCTGCTGGAAGAATAACCCTACCTTGAGGCAATCAACATAAGCCTTTCCCCGCTGAAGATAGGAGAGTAGGCATCTGAGCTAAGACTAGATCATCTAAGGCTTATATGGGGATCTGTCAAAACACTTCAGGGAAGGGAGCAGCTAGGCTTTTTCATTCCTCATTCAATGATACTGATCACTTTTCTGACAGGCTAAATGACAGTGCTGATGGCTGGATCCAGAGTCAAAGCCTCCTCCCTCTTGGAAGCTACCCATTCCGTTAAGAGGGCATAGATACCCACTTTCCTATTGTGTATCCCTCCTTGGGCCTCAATATTTAACTATTTATACCTTGATACCTGTTTCAGAGTTCCTAGAATCTTAATGTACTTTTGTCACACCGTCACTCCAGGAACTGAAACTTAACAAATTCCACTCACTGGCATGACAAACCTAGACTTCAAAAAGAACACCTGTTATAGCCCCAGGTGTCTACATATTAAATACCATCTGATTCTCCATTGCTATGCCATGCCCACAAGCTACAGCTCTCTATTGCGCCATCAGGGACTCCTGGAGCTAATCTATTTCCTCCAAAGCACCTGGAGGTAGTCTCTGGTAACCTTGGACATCATGCTGCTTCTATTTATCCACTGGAGCTCAACTGTCTGCCCTGCAGCTGAGAAAACATCTCCAGCACCTGGCCTGCTCTGCTAACCATCATGACCAGTCCAAACAGACACAAATACTAAGATATGAGAAAAACTATAAACAGTGGGACATTATTCCAGTAACCGAAATGTATTCATTTAAACAATACTTATTGAATGTCAGAGATATGGCTGTATGGTAGTGACACAACAATGAACAAGACAGATTTTCTGCCCTCAAGGAATTTGTGTCCTATTTATCTGCCCATATAAACAAAAATTTAACTACACATAAAGGTAAAAACATCCATTTGTTATTACAACAAATAAAAATATGTGCGCTTATATCTATTGCCCAACATAGAGAAAGTATCTGAAATGTTATATCAAAATATAAGTTAAGGAGCATACGCCACATTTTCTTGAGTGGAAGATGCAAGGATTTAAGAAATTGAAAAATGCCCTACAAGTTAAAATACAAAACACCCATGTAACTGTAGACAGAGAGATATGCAAATGAATCAAATGGTGAGGGAGAAAGAAAAGAGGGCTAGTTCAGATGCAATAGATGCATACTGGGGAGTTAACACAGAAATATGTACACTTAACACATGTGACATGAAGCTTATTTTTTTCTCTTGAATTGCACATAACGTCATGAACTTCATAAACCTCAATCTGTCCAGGGAAAATAATTCAGCCTTTCTGGTATTCTTAGTCCAGTAGTTTTGCCATGTAAACCGTTCCTTGTTTTCTGTTTTCATGGGGTGTTTGGGGGCTTTTTGTTTTCTTTTTCAAATCTCAGTCACTGTTCAGCACAAAATTTCTAACTCAGAGTTGCCTTTCCTCCTTTACAGGCCCTTCTTTTGCCTCCATTCCCCCTTCTCCTATGCTGTCTTTTCCTGGTTGGCCTGCTCTGGCTGCTGGAGGTGTCACAGAAAGTTGGATAACCTGAGGAATGTCCTTCAGCTGAGCAGAAAAGTTAGATAGCTGGTCTTGATCATGTATTTCCCTGCTGGACATGTTGTTCCCATCATCATTTGATCTGGTCCTGGCATTGGTATGATATTAACCTACTAATGTTCTGGCCACTTGCTCTCTCTAGGTCTGCACAGATGGCATCTTTTCTGCAGCACATTCATGGTCTTCAAGTGCCCATGTACCATACTGTCCACTTCATGGTCTTCTGACCTTAGAGATTCCAAGAGCAGTGCTGCTTCCTTTGTCTCACCTCTTTGGGCAATCACTACGTCTCATAACATAGGAAGCAGATTCCTGCAGGGCCAACTAGAGTCTGCTTACAAATCAGGCCTGGACTATCTTTATCGTGCCTTTCTTGATACCCTACCCTCTCTTAATTCATTCTTTCCAAAGTCCGGTGACCCTTAGACATTCCTTCCCAGAAAACTTGCAACAAGACCCAAACCAATGTTCAATCAACAATTATCAGGTTCCTTCTAATAATACTGGTAGCATTCAAGAATTTTATGCTTCCTCATAACCAACCTGACAACCAGGTATATTTCACAACAAAATAAGGCACAAACAAAATTCTGCCTCATAAGCAAATATTTATTAGCCATCAGGCACTAAAACAGTCATATATACTGTTCCAGTAAGCTCTGCGAAGTCCCCGATCTATCACTACAAAAGCCCCTTATATGAATGGTGATCTCCGAGATAAATAAAATTGCATCCCCTACAAGATTAACCTTCCCAGTCAATCCAGTAAAAGATCCCAAGACAGATTTTCCATTAAGGAAATGGCAGAGCTGCAGTATAGGACCATGTGTATTGCTATATCAGCACACAGCTGGCAAGGCAGAGGTTTCCAAACAATATTTCTAGCCAGCTGCATATAATGAACACCACTTGTTTCATCTGGAAAACACTATTACTAATACATTTTGTGCTAATTAGCCCACTGGTACAGATGTAAACAGCAATTTGAAATTTTGCCCCAGCTGCCTCTGGGACTTAGATTACTGAATAAAGTCCTTCAAATATTATTCAACCACTCCAGTGGTGGATGTTAAAATAAATTGACTCAAATATGTGTGTGTGTGTGTGTGTGTGTGTGTGTGTGTGTGTGTGTGTGTCTGTGTGTGTCTGTGTATACAAAGATACGTGGGTCATATATGTATATATGATATATGTATAAATACACATATACATATCACATGATCTAAACTGTAGCATATCAACAAAAATTATGAATGACATTCAGAATGAGATTCTAATCTCCCCTCTTTGCAGAAAACCACAAACCATGGAATACATGACTAGCATCTCCCTCCCTAGAGAAAGAAAAAAAGAATCAGGGGGAAAGACAAAGTGATAATGCTCCATAGCTGCTCTCCTTTGAGGTTATGGTCTACCTTATAGCTCCCTCTTCTTATTTCCCTTAAGACAGGATGTTCCAAATTAGTTGGGCCTTATTAGTACCTAGATGGGAAGGCTGAGAACCCACTACCGTGAGTTTAAATTCCATTATTTTATGGAATTTGAAATCCTCACTTTCCACTGTGAATTCTCTCCACAGACATCCTTTCACCTATAAGTAACCCAATAACTCTGAGGATCAACAAGTGCTTTCAGGGATCCTCCATGTAATAGAAATGCAAACACCCACATGGAAAGCCAAAAGGGATTTCCCAGGGATTTGCAGGCACTTATTTGCAAAAAGGATGCCTATTGCTTGAGCAAGATGATCAAATCGAAATCCACAAAAATTTAATTATTTACCTATCACAAATAATTCTGAGAAGCACAGAGGGAGGTCAGCAAGTTCTAAATAAGATAGATGATAGATGAATTAGCAATAACACGCATTAAGTGTACTGCATGTAAACTGAAGATATTAATATACCTTTTAAAAACCTGTAATGTTAGGTCTAATAAGTTTAATAGAACATAATCTATAAAATCTGATGTAACACACAAGCACATGAAGTATGATCAGCAGAGATTACTGCCACCAGTTAGCTCTTAAAGCTGCCACAAATTAGATACATCCAAATAAGCCCTTATCTTCATGACTGCTAATGCTGCTCCTCTTTCAAATTTCTTACCTTGCAAATGTCAGTTCTTCAAGTTATACAGTATTTCTTCCTTTCAACTCTACATCCTGTCATCAAATCTTACGTACTATGATGAAAACCACAATTACTTTTGCTCTGACCTGATACTTAAAAGAGCATTGAAATATATACCTTCTTCCTTTCTATTAGTATCAGAGGCTAATAATCCGTTGCCTTTAAAATTGGACTAACTCTCCATTCCTACACTGTTTTCCCCAGACTTTGCTCTGCTGTCTGGCACTGACAGCTCATAACTGCAAATCTTGATTCTGCCACCCACCTATCTACCATCCTGCAATGCTTCCTTGGAATTTTCAGGATAAATTTTACACTCCTCCATAATAAGGTCCCTGCAAATACCTAAACTATACTCTAGTCAACTACTTCCTGATGCATAACCGTTGCTTTTGATAGTGCCAATCCACTGGACTCTAAGGGCTACGAATTATTGCAAAGCATCTACAAGTCCACAGGCACACCAAGTTATCATCTATAGACTGAAAACATCACACACAGAGATATACTATAATTATTCAAAGGTGTAAAAATGAACCCTCAAAGTTACCAAAGATATTATGACTTTAAATTCTTACAAATACACTTGAAAAGCACAAGTGTTTTCTAGAAGAAAAAGCAGACAATTATGTTAATTTAAAAGATAATAAAAATTGAGAAAGTTGTCATTTTTCAAATCTTAATATTTTCATAACTCCAAGGAAATTAACTGCAGGAAGTATTTCCAGTCACTTAGCTACTTCATCTACCTTTCTTTACAATTCATATTTTTTTCTTTTTTAAAAAATTAGAACCAACCTCCTATTAAGCATCTTTTTTCTTTTCTACATTCTGTTCTCCTTCACTGGTTAGAAGTAAGATGTGGTAGATCTCCAAATGTTTCTGTTGTTACACGTTTGGTAGGAAAGCCAATGTGTGCATTGAAAGGATCAAACAATGTTTTACTCTCTTGGCCAGCATGCTCCATCAGCCTTCTAAGTCAGGTAACGGGTGAAAAAATGGAAAGGATCTACACCCATTAACATTCAGAGGCTTGTTAAAGAAACATATACATCTAATATCTTGGCATATGGCTAAGAGGAACATAGTTATTCATTTGTGAAAAAGCTGGGGTTACTTGTAAACTTAAATTTAAGACTTTAGAAGAATAAGCAACAAACCTTTAACAGGTTTACCTGTACATCCTGCAGGCACTAATAAGAGAATAAACTTCACATCTGTTCAGTGTCAAAAAGAATCATAAGTCTTCCACTGTTTTGTTTTGCTTATAAACATGTGCAGGTGAGCAAGGCATCATCAATAATATCACCTGCAGAAATAAAAATGAGTTATATATGTAGAAAAACATTTCCAAAAAGAGTTCTGAGAAACACTAGTTCTATGAAACGTATGAGGTGTTTTATACACACACACAAAATGGTTCCATAGGACTAAATATATTTAAACAATTTTATAATGGTATTTCTCATATTTTTAATGCATTAATGTTTATTTTAAAGCTCCAAAAGCAGAATGTAACATAATTCCTTATTTAATCTCACAAGGAAACACTTTTACATGGAATATTTCCAGAGTTTTGTTTGTAATGCTCTCAGAAAAATGATGAGATATAGTTTCACCATTAACAATTTTATTTCCAGAAAATGAGTCAATTGTTACAACTGAGCTCGTGACTGAAATGTAGGAGTACATGACATGCAAGTAGTCATGAGCACCTTAAACCAGGGTCATAAAGATGCCTTGAAATAATTCTTACTTTTTGAAATTGAGCAACAATAAATCTCAGTATTTACAAAGAAAATTTTGTCAATAAGAAGGAAATAGAATTAAATTTGGAAAGGAAGGCAATCATGATGGAAACTAGATTTTGTTCAAAATCCCTTTGAATTAAGAAAAAAAAATTATTGAATATAAATGACATATATATTTTTGTAAAAGAAGTGTGCTTCATCTCCATTAGAACAGGATAATTATCACCATAAACATCAAAGGCATGGTAGGCATTAAGTTGCTTTCTAAAACAGGTCCCTAAAAGCTGAATAGAGAAGTGTCAATTTCCCCCAACACATTTTTCTTCTCATACAATTAATCTGACAAACAGAATTACCTCAATTTGGCTTAGGTGTGAACACCTGACAAATCACAACAAACATCAAATGTGCTATTTCCAAGGATGTCCTCCGTATTTTTTCTGTAATGATAAAGTCTCAATGATCTTTTTATGCAAATTATATCACATCATTTCCAAGCACAAAAATCATTTCATTGTTTCTGCCAACACTTATAGACAAATAGGTCTTACATAAACTGGCCCTTGTTCTCTCTTTCTCTTTCTCTTTCTTTCTCTCTCTCTTCTCTCCCACCCCTGACCCCGCCCCATCCATTCCATTCACATAAATCTTCTTGCTGTGCCTCATACAAGCGAGAGTCATTCCTTCCTTAGGATTTTTTTTCCTAGACCTTGGCCTAGCACGTTTTCATGCTCAGAGAGTCTAATTTAAATAGTTAGAGATCAGAAGCAGGCATCAGTGTTTCTTGAAAATGACTAGATAAAAAGAAGCGTAGGACAGAACAGAAGAATAAATGATTGACATAAATAAAGACAGCGACTCCCTATCAAATATTTTTACAAAGCAGAACATCTTTTACATGCTTCACCTAACATTTAGCATTTAATACCTCCTGGTCAAGCTATCTTTAATTGTCATCCCTGCAATATTATGCAATGCAGTGACATTTTAGAAAGGCAAAGAGCTTTAAATTACTAATTTATTGGGGAAAATAATTAAGTTTTCAGGTTCATGCCATGATGAACCTGAAAGAGAAACTATATTTCATGATTGTGTTGAATGATAATACCCTTCAATTGTATGGTAACTAAACTATTTATTATATATTAAAATCAAAACTGGTATTTGGGCTATTTACTTTTCAATTCTTAAAATCAGGTAATAAAATGAAATATAAACTTCACAATAAAATTTCTAAAAGGCAGTTTGTATTTTATTGCTCTGCATTCAAGTAAGCATCTCATGCCTTGCTGTCTTTCCAAAAACAGCAGCCAAATGGTATCCACTTAATCTTCTCCAGGGCTGTCTTGACAGACAAGAGCACTTTCAAGGCTACAGGGCTCAGACATTGTGCACACCATGACCAAACTAAAAACAAAAGCTTCACCACTTACTTTGTCAACATTGATAATTAAATCAATCTTCCTCTTAAGAGATCATAATAAAGATTCCACAGGTGGAAGCAGCTCTTACTGCCAAAGGGCTTTCTATGATTTGATGCATCCAAGATTTGATGCCAGAAAAAGCGCTTTTAAAAAACTCGAAATACTGGTAGTTTTCGGCTAGTCGAGGAAATTTTGACTGCTTGAAATTTATTGTTAGAAGAAAACATTGAGTTGCCTATGGTGTATAATAGAGATTGTTTAAAAGCTACAGTAGGTAGCTATAGACTTTTGGCATTGTGATTGAAGATTTTTATGCTTGAAAATTATTAGCAGTTCAGAATAAAAGTAAAGCCTATTTTGTCCAGAATACATTTGTTTTAGTCATGAATGACACTGCTTATAAGATCATAACCAGAGAATCTAAGAATGAAGTAGATAGAATCATCAAAGTAAACCAGCAAGAAACTACAGGATCTCAATCAAAGAGAACCAGAGATCAAGAGGCAGCAGAGCATCTTGTCAATGGGAAAACAAAATTCTCCAGTTCACTTAACATCACAAAAAATCAACAAGGCTTGATAAATACAGAACAATCACAAAACAAACACTGAAAGTCTCTACATTTAGCTAATCCCCATTTTTTTCCTAGTTTATTTATTCACTGATTACTCTCTGTGGAATAGCTCTAATATATCTTTTTGCACAATTCCTAAAGTTAACCAGTGCATAAGCAGCATCTCATTTTCAGTTCAGTTTTCTAAGTCCTACAATATTACTAATGTCACATGGAAAAGCAAAGTCTTTTCCTTCCAAAATCATGATAAGAAAAAATGAGCAATCAGTTATTTGGGGTCTGTCACCTCCCTTCTCCTCAGAAAAGCTATAGCTAAGAGCACATCAACATAATTTTTAATAAAATTCATCTTGCTGTTATATTTATAGCTAACTATAAAGCCACCTTACATTCAAAACAATAAACTGAGGCAAATTTTCCCATAAGACTAACTTGATCACAATCTAATGAAAGGCTTTGATTTTGCATGTTGTAGAATCATGAAGCATATGCCAACAGGAAATACATTCAATATCATGCTAGCAGAGAAAAGCTTTCCAAAAGTTTGGCTTAGCTAGATAGATATTTAAGTTTGTTGGTAGTAGGATAAGTCAGTTATTTTACTGTCATTTTAAGAACTGTAAAATACAATCACAGCCCTGTTTATCTATTACAGCATAAATAGCATTATTTAAGCTCCGGAGTTTAAATAATTATCAGTGACTGCATCTGCTTTGCTCATCACTGCATCTCCAAAAGTTGGTACAATGCCTGGCATATAAGTGTAGCTTGATAAATATCTTTTGAAAGAATAACTTAATGTTAAAAAATAATGAAATGAGAACAGAAAGGAGGCATATCAGCTTACAGATACCTTGAACCACATATCTAAAGATGCTGTATGTTTATTATACAAATCCAACTTAAAATACTAAATTTATCTGTGAAAAAATTACACTTGTTAAAGCTTCCAATGCTTCATTATAACTGTCTTATCATAATTATGTTAGCATTTGAAAATCAAAAGAGATTTTTTGTTTTTTTCCCAAAATGAAAAGAATTTGTATACCAAAAGAATATAGTTGAGTCCATTTCAGCCACATAATTAAGATGCTGGACTGATTACTTATTTTTTAATGTGTCAGTTACTTAATATTCACTCATTAGAAATGGATGTCCAATGTTCATACCTTTAATTAAACTAATGACTATTACAACAGATGTTTTCAAACTGAATTGTATTTGAAGCAAGCTGATTTTTATTTAATTTTCTTCATATAAAATACTGTCCAAGAATTAGGCAGTCTTAAATCTTATACTGTGCAAATCTTATTCCAACCTCGCTAAGTATGTCTCTTGAAAAATTAGTCCTTTATATCTCTCAGTTTTTAACTGATGCATAATTGTACATATTTATAGGATACAGTGTGCTATTTCAATACATGTATACTATGTGTAATGATCATGTTAATTAGCATATCCATCACCTCAAATGTTTATCAACTCAGTATTGGTAACATTCAATATCCTCTTTTCTACCTATTTGAAAATAACACAATAAATTGTGGTTAGCTATAGTCACCCCACAGTGCCAAAAAACAACAGAACTTTTTTCTTCTACCTAACTGTAAACTTTATATTTATGAACCAACCACTCCCTATCCCATTTCCTCTACCCTTCCTAGTCCCTAGTAACCACTAATCTACTCTCTACTCCTATAAAAAAACTGTTTTAGCTTCCAGGTATAAGTGAAAACATGTAGTGTTTATCTTCCTTTGCCTGGCTTATTTCACTGACAAGATTTTTGCTGTTGTTGTTTTGAGATGGAATCTCGCTCTGTCACCCATTGCACTGCTCCAGGCTGCAGTGCAATGGAGCGATCTCAGCTCACTGAAACCTTTGCATCCCAGGTTCAAGCAATTCTTGTGCCTCACCCACCTGAGTAGCTGTGACTACAGGCGTGAACCACCATGTACAACTAACTTTTGTAATTTTTTAAATAGAGACAGGGTTTTGCCATGTTGGTCAGGCTGGTCTTGAACTCCTGACCTCAAGTGGATCCACCTGCCTCAGCCTCCCAAAGTTCTGGAATTACAGGTGTGAGCCACCATGCCCAGCCAGGATTTCATTTTTTCTTCATGGCAGCATGTTGTATTGTACATATATACCAAATTTTCGTTATCCATTCATCTGTTTATATACACTGAGATTGATTCCATATCTTGGCTATTGTTAATGGACATATCTTGGTTAGTGCTGCAATAAACATGGGAGTGCAAATCTCTCTTTAATATACTAATCTTCTTTCCTTTAGATATACCCAATAGTGAGATTGCCGGCTCATATGGTAATTCTATTTTTAGTTTTTTGAGGAACCTCTAGACTGTTTTCTATAATATCTGTACTAATTTATCCTCCCACCAAAGGAGTATAAAAGTACCCACTCCCTCACATCCTCACTAGTATTTTTTATTTTTGTCTTTTTAATAATAATAATTCTAGCTGTGGTGAAATGACATCATACTTTTGATTTGCACTATCCTGATGACTCGTGATGTAGAGCATTTTCTCATATACTTA